GGAGGTTTGTAGTGTGGCACTGTAGGCATTGGATACAATGAGATAGAGGGAAAGACATCATAAGTCAGACAAAGATACTGAAGAGAGAGACAGAGAGAGAGAGAGAGAGAAGGAGAGAGAGAGAGAGAGAGAAGAGAGAGACAGAGGAGAGGAGGGGTGAGAATGAATGAAAGAAAGACAGAAAGAGGGAAAGAGATCAAGAAAAAAAGAGCGAAGAGATAGAGAGAGTGGAAAGAGATAAAGGGAGAGGGGTTGAAGAGGGAAAGAGAGAGATTGAAATATATATCTATAGAGAGAGAGAGAGAGAGAGAGAGAGAGAGATATATATATATATATATATATATATATATATATATATATATATATACAGAGAACAGAAAGCATGAATTGAGAAATTAGTTTTTATGAAAGGAAAATACATACATGTACATACAGCAAACGGGTGCATGTTACAAATATTAGGAAGGAACATGGATCTGTTTACGATTGAACTTCCCATACACTGTGATGATGTTTAAATAAGAGGGATCGATTACCATTATAATTGCAAAAAGGATATGTTCATTGCCGATTTGGAAATGAACTGTTGTTCCTAACTTCTGCTCAGTCCGGCAAATCATTCCATGACTTTCACGTAGTTTAAGCAATTTTCCCTATCAAAACTATTATTTATTAATATAATATAAGTTCCTAAATTACATTATAAATCATTGCAAATTCCATTGATCCTGTTGTCAATAAAGAAAGGTTGTAGATCGCAAGTTTTTAAGTTCTAGGTATGGTATTCTTCCAGGCTGAGAGAGGCTTGATAAGTTAGGTGTATGTTTGAAAAATTCATAACGAATTTCGAATGACAATGTCATGTGTCATTTCGTAAATTATGATTTTTGAAGCTATGTTTTCTAGATATATTAATAGCATAAAAAGAGCTCTATAGAATAAGTCCACTCGTAATTTGGCGACCTGAATGCGAGCTCAGTGCCGAATATGCCCTGACTATTGTTCGGGGACACATTTCTTCCCCCCCCCCCCCCCCCACACACACAAATTTCCAAGATCGATTGAACTCTTTTAGACCCTTTTTTTTACCTCGATCGATTACATATGTGCCCCCCCCCCCCAACATCAAACTCTGGCTATACGTGCCTGCTCGTGAGACACAACAGGATAGCTCGTTGTTCCTCGTAGCACCTCGTACTGATGCACGAATGATGCACGAGTATAAACGAGTCGCGTTCATAAAACTCGTAGTGTCCAGGCAAGTAACTGCGAGTTGTGCCAAGTTGTTTCCCAGTTCTTTGATAGTTGAACTAAGAGCGCTTGAGGTTCCTGTCTGCTCGTCTCTTACACATCAAGATGTATAATGTTGTAAGAGGGGATTTATGTAGGCCAAGCGGCCGCTACGACGATCACGAACACGAATCTGAAGGTCTTGCATTTATTATCGTGTTTAGCATCATTGATTAGCCGTCGCCTGGAATTTGTTTTGTTTCGTTTTTTATTCAACCTGTTGAAATTTTTTTAACACATCCCGTTTTAGCGTGATATTCACGTGAGGTGTTAGTATTACAAAATGGTACAGGACGTCGTTATTAATTAATTAAGTGCTTTCAAATTAATCTCTTCTGCTCGACAGGAATACCGAATGCAGGTCGCGCGGAAACTGACGGCCGTCGAATCGAGTCGGGACTTCCTTCGTATCTTCGTTCCAAACAACGAGATCGAGCCGAGGTTCACATCCATGGTCAACGCGACGGTGCAGAAGAAGAAGGGAAGGATCAGCCACGGCATCACCCTCGATTTCGATGAGGAGATCAGTGATCGAGGTAAAAAAAAAGAAAAATGTATTATTGTTATTATTATTTATTTTTAATTGTTGATATATATAAATATATATATATTATATATATATATTTTATTTTTCTAATTTTAATTTTTTTTTTTTTTACATCACGATTTTTAATTAAAACAAGGTTGCTGTCCCTGATTGTCTTTCTTAATTGAATTCTCTTGAAGTTATCACCTATTCATGAAACATAAGATCCTGTGTTACAATTCTCTTTGTGTATTAGCCATGGCAGCTTGGATTAAACATGGTGCTTCAGTGGGATGCTCCGAGCCTCAGCCCCGGATGTTGGACATGTTCGAAGAGCTCGGTCTATCCCGTGGCATAGGAACGTACATCTACCCGAGTTGTACGTGGGTGAGACGGTGTGGCGGTAGTGGGTGCTGTACCAGCGATCTGCAGGAGTGTGCCAGCGTTCCGGGGACGAGAGCCAATGTTACGAAGCCGGTAAGAAACGGTATTTCGCATTAAGTGCTATCTAAATCCAGATTTATTATGTCTGGGACTCGAGTTGTGGCAAAAAGAAAGAAAAATGATGAAAAGAAACTGGCAGATGAGGGGATAAGGAACGCAAAAAGAGAGACGATAGGTCCCCTGCCTTATATACCCCCTTTTACTCCTCACAATCAATGGCCTTCTTATTTTGAATTTTAAATTGTAATCGGGCGGAGATTGCACAGCCAAAATGTGCGCCGTTAAGCATGTTAAGAGGGTGTACATTTACAAACAAACTTTCACATGCGATGCTACGGACAAACATAGTGTTCAGAAGCGGATCTAGAGGGGGGGTTGGGGGGGTTGCAACCCCCCCCCCCCCAAAAAAAAAAATCCGGGGACCATTTTTTTAAATCTTATCTTTTTTTTAAAACTTGTAATTTTATTTTATTCTATTTCTATGTATTTATTTCATTTATTATTATTATTATTATTATTATTATTATTATTATTATTATTTCTTTTTGGGGGGGGGGGGGGGGGGGGGGGGGTTGGGCGAACAAATGTCACAGAGTCCCTTGCCCCCCCCCCCCATCAGCTTTTTTGAGGACACGGGCCACCGCCGAAGTGAAAAAAAAAAGAAAGAAAAAAGAACGCACGCTGGAGAGAAACCCTTTCAAGTGCAAATATTGTGAGAAGATTTTCAACTCATCTGGTAACTTAACCAAACACATGATAACTCTGGATATAACTGTGTATTTAACTGTTACTTGATTTAAAAAGACGTTATCATGCACTGCTTTTTATGGTCTCCATTGTGTTAATAGATGCCAGGAAAACATCACTTACGGGGTTCAAATAAACACCCCCAAAAAAAATCGGCTCGCCGCTTCGCGGCTCGTGGACGATGCTCCGCATCGTCATTATTTTGGTCAACCCCCCCCTTAGCAAAAAGCTAGATCCGCCCCTGGTGTTTTCCCTAAATGTATACTGTTATCATTCTTAGTCAACTGGATCTGGTGGTATAAACATAGATGGCGCTCTAACGATTTCTACATCGCTATTCTAGAGAAGTGATGGCTATGGTTTTTCTTTTATGAATCTGGAAATATGTCCCTTTCAAACCAACATGACATCTTGTTTCGTCGTATAGTTACAGGACTTTTTATCATATTGGTCGGGTTTCGAGTCCCACCGCGGCACTAATGTCCTTTTGCAAGACATTAATCTACATTTGCCACTCTCCACCCAGGTGTCAAATTGGTGGCCCTCAATGATGATGGAAATGCTTACAACTTTCAACTTTATAAAATATGTTTTCTTCCTTTCTTTCTACAGTTTGTTATGATTACAGAGACGGGCATAGATGAATCACTACACGTGACTATGAAAGACCAATTTCTAAACTACACCTTTTACGAAGACACAGCTTGTACCTGTCTAAACCGTCCCGAAAGTGAACTGCCATGCTCGCACACGACTTGTCCATCGGTAGGTCATTTTTAGCGCATGGACGGAGATCGTCATAACATCGACTTTGTAAAGTCATCGATATTTTGATATTGAATTTAATTAGAGTAATGCGGTAACACTAATGAAACGGGGGATTGAATGGAGGGTATATTGATAAATAGGAATAACGGCATAATTATGATAGGTGAACAAAATAATGAGGTTGTGCACATGGAGCATGAGCAATGACATTAAAGATATTCCCTCCCGGATGTGTTCTCATGAGGAGGCTACGTAATATGCTTTTGAAAATGTTTTCGACATTCAGCTATTTCGAGGCATGCAAAGTTCATGTTCATGCAAAGTGTAATGTCAATCGAAAAAAAGTGTTTTTGAGATAATACTCTGATAATTTTCAGTTAACTTAGAAACTTTCAAATAACTAGCGATATACCTACGCTCAATTTGATCATTTATTTTAATGACTAATTTTTCTTTATTTGATTTTCCCCATGTGATGCTGATCTGTTGGTTATATTTCTCTAATTTATTTTTTGTCTCTATATATACATTTTACACTTTCTTTTTCTATTATCACTTTTGGGCTGATTGAAAGTTTCACCATTAACAATTAATCGAATTCAAGAAATACAACGCCCCGTCTCTCTCATTCCCTCTCTTTCGTTTTCTCTCTAGAATCAAGGGTTCAGTGTGGCTGCCTGTGGTTGTAAGTGCCTCAAGGATTGTCCGGTGCCATATATGCAGGACCCAGACACTTGCCAGTGCGACTGCAGCTCCGGGGACAAACCGTGTCTCAAAGTCATGCGAGGAAAAAGGCGGTTACCTGCAGAAGAGTGTTTGTAAGTACACGCTAAAAACTAAATTTGTTAAATCATCATTTAAGTGACCACTTTTTTTCAAAATGGTAGATGAACACTTTGAACATGCTGGATCCGATACTATAAAGTTTGAATCTACATTCTACCTTTTAAAAAGTGTTATGCTGGCATTCTGAAAAAGCGGTAAACTCCTCCGCCGAACCCCATGCCGTAAAGGCTTCGTGCTCGCAATGTCGTACATTTCACGCCCTTCCTCCCTTATAAAATCCTGGATCCGCCACTGAAAGTGATGTTTGAATGAAAACAGTTAGAGAACCATCAGCTTCAAAATATAACCTTCACGACTATTACTTGAATTTAATATGTCCAATCTTCAATACGATGCATTTATATGTCCGATCAATTTTAGGAAACGTAATACCTATTTTATACCAACTACTGTTTACCCCATTTTGCAGTACAATTTTCGTTTCGATCTTTAGTACTTGACAAACTCCAATTTGTTTAAAGTTGTTTGGACACATAATTTTTTTCACGTGCGACATTTTATACATACCCGGTAACACACAGAAAAATACACAAAATAAAGGCAGGACGGATTCGGACTTATTCTCTCAAACTTAGATATTGATAGTAACAGTTGAGAATGATTTATGCCAGGCAATTTTTGTGGGGGGGAGGGGGGGGGGGGAGAAGAAAAATACAAACAACATCTCTAGGCTAGGAATCTACCTTCTTCGGTATTGTCATGGTTTTTCAATGTGTATTGTATGTACATGTATAATAATCTATATTCAAACTGTTGATCTGGGCCCCATCTTATAAAGAGTTGCGATTGATCCAAATCAATCACAAGTCCTCTAATCAATCGCAAATTTGCAGTCTCCTATCTCCTATATACATAGTGCATGCGATTGATATCAATCGCAAATAAGTTGCGATTAATATCAACTCTTTGTAATACAGGGCCCTGGAAAGGAAGATTTGTATTTCTTCTACAGAGCCCACGAGGGACTCGATCAAGTCAATAAATTATGTTTGACCAAATTGATTGACGTCCATATACGAACCACACCCCAATAAGTTAGCACCTTCCTCACATTCAGCACCCAGGAAATCTAAAAGCGTCCTACATCGCCTTATACAAATTAAATGATTTTCAAAAGTCCATCTGACTAAATATTTTGCGTTCGTATAACATTTCATAATCTAGTTGTAAATTTACTTATTAACTGCATTTTGATCAATGCTGTGTCTTTTATCCAATAGGCGTGTCGGGCATGGATTCGAGAAGCCCAAATGCAGAAGACACTGGAGTTTCTCAACCACGCACTGCAGATGTGAAGAAAGAGCGCCACCTACCGTCTGGGCACGGATGTACAAGATCAATAACGAAGTACCTGTCGAGACTCTACCCGAAACCGGTGACGAACCCGATGAAGAACTCATCAACGAATACGCTTCGGGAATTACTCCTCCACTCACGACAGCCGAAGCGACAACTATTATGACGCCTCTTATTCCAGAAGAAGACGAAGAAGAAGAAGTAGAAGAAGGTACTTTTGAGAGTTATGGTTTGGGGATAGCTTGATTAAAACATAAAAAATATGGATTAAAGACCGTCAATACTAGTTGGCCAGAAGGGATTAGACCACCCAGCCAGGTCACTGACAGGTGGCTATCTCATCAACTCAGCCCTCAATACATAAGAAAAAGAGGATCATGGGGGACAAACAGGCACCGATTGGGGAAGTTTTCTATATAGAGGGAGCAAGTAGTACAAGTAGGACAGTGGGACAGTGGGGCTTTAAGAGTTCTATATTCATGACAAAAGTCATGAAGATTGTAAGTCATTTTTGTTGGTTATTTTTGTTTGTTTTGTTTGTTTGTTTTTTGAACTTAAAGTTCTTTGTTGTAGGGTTGAATATTCTCTTCAAGTTTGTTTTGATTAAAAATATAGCTATTTGAACAATTCTAATTTGTTTACACTGGCTTTTATGAGCATATTTCTTTTTCTTCTGCATTATCTTACTGAATAATTGCTCTGTATGATCTGTTTTTGCCAGACACTGCTCGGGGAGATTCATCGTCGTCTTCTTCCGTTGATGAAACTTTGCCTCAGGATCCCGATCCATTTGATCCCTTGGTCATGCTACCCGTGGCACCGGAACAAAGATACACCAGTGGCAGCGAATACCAACAAGTTCAGCATGAAACAAGGACAAAGGTCATAAGTTCATACAATCACACAAGTGCCAGTCAAGAAACAATTTCTAAGGATTCATCTAGCCGAGGAAGCCGTCTCGAACAGGAAGTTGAAGAAACGACTTCGACAAACTATGATACGACGGAAACGACGACGACGACGACGCGGCCGCACCAGGACACGTATGGACATCATCGTGGTCGGTTTCTTGGGCGTGTTGGTTTAGAGGACGATGAGGATGAGGTGGTAGCCGAGTTAGGAGAATTCGGAAGTGGATCGACGCCAGTTGACGATGATGATTAAAGCTGGAGCAGAGAGTCAATTTGTGCGCAATTGATTTAATTTTGAAGCGCAATTTTTTTTTCTGACAGTGTCGGTCACAAAATGGTCACGGAACCTCAACAAAGATGAATGCTGTGTTAATATTCATCATCGTTTGTTAAAGGAAGGGCTGACTAAAGAAAGATCATGAAATCGAATGGAATCGAGAAAAGTGCCTGTGCGTAAAAAAAAAGAGGAAAAAGGACATCTTTGTAAAGGAATATACATGTACAGTGTACAGTGATAATAGGGACTTTTAGATTTGCACAACGACAACGTGGATTGCTACGATCGACGTCATTTTAATGCATTACCTTGAATGGACGTCACACGTATCAGTCCACGCAAATCTAAAAGTCCCTACTATTAGATCATCAGACATGTACTACATGATGTAAGTAAGGATTATTCTGAGTATACCTTTCGACTTTGAACCGATACCATGTCTAGGTATACTCCATTGCTCAACGGAAAAGGAAACAAGGCTGAAGAGAATACCGAAGAGAGATGACTAATTACTGGAAACGAATAACGGGATATGCGTATGGAATTCGGACCGTCTTTTGTAAATGAGTATAATGTAGTTCAACGATAGTAACTAGATTTTCAGGATTCAAAAGTCATGCACTATACTGCTTTTTGACGATAAATAGCTCATTGTACATTTAAAAAAAAGAAAGAACATTTATAATCATTGTTGTTGTATAACTCTAATGAACAAGGACACGGAATGCAAAGATATTGTGATAATAGTTGATGAGATGTAATCATAAAGATAATTGAATGAAATATTAAAAATGTGAGAGAATATCACCCAGGGGAAAGTCTTATAATTCACCAAAAACATAAAATGGGTTTCAGTATTAGTTCATGTTGAATCTTCTCTGAAAAACGAAACATAAAAAATTATTTATTTTGTTTTATTTTATTTTTTATTTGTATTATTATCATTTTGTTAGATATTAATTAATTTATATAATTTTGTTCATTATTATTATTATTTTTCATTTTTTGATTTATTATTATTATTATTATTACTTAGCGTGTGGGGGGGGGGGGGTCTCTCAAACAAATTGACAAAGTTTGGGCCTAATGCTTGCCCAATGTGATGTGAAGGTTTGCTGGTGGAATCATAATTATCTGCACTAAAAGTTTTACCTCATTCACGTTATGGCTTTCGACGCCATTTTGAAAGCGATGGAATTTTCTTTCGTATATTATTATGCTCATCAAAAAAGCTAGACATAACTGTAGAGCAAAGCTATGCCATTGTAATGTTTTCAATGTATTATGACTGTATCATTTGTGACTATTACCTTCCACTACTTTTTCTTGTTTTACTATCTTGCATGAATATGATTGTATACACTCTTATTTCCACGGAGTCAAATTTCACTCTGAATGGCGGTCAGCTGGGAGTCAACTCTATTCCTAGTTAAAGTGACACGGAAAAGGAGTCATCTTGACTCTGAATTGAGTCAATTCTCAGCTGATGCCACACAATCCGAGTCAAATTGATTCGGAATCCGTGTCACTTTAACTAGGAATAGAGTTGACTCCCAGCTGACGCCATTTAGAGTGAAATTTGACTCCGTGGAAATAAGAGTGTAATACGTGATAAAAGGATTTGATATATTTAATTATGTTATCATCTAGGCCAATGTATGATTATTACCTTTTGTTTATTTTTTTAAAGTTTTTAATATTTTCAAAAGATTATCATATCAATGTAAATTTTTTACCCCCCCCCCCCCAAAAAAAAAACAGGGAAAAAAAAACAAACCAGTAATACGGGCTCATTTACTCATGCCTTATCGTAGTTATCGCCAGCAGTTAATAGGTTTTACTTTTGTCAGATTACTAGGCATTTGAAGGCCATTTTGATGAACTAAATAATTTATTTTACAGTGATCAGATTTAGTGTTTTATAAAGCGTCAAAATCTGAGAAACCACAAGGGATTAACGACTGTAGTAAAACATGAAAACAATAAGATTAAACAATCACTAGAAAAGTAGAAGGCATTATTCCAATTTCCTCCTATAAACGGATCAACATAATTATCAACTGGATTGTTAGCATAATAAAGATTCATCTTAGTTTTGATAAGCTGAGCTTTCTTGTTTTTGTTTTTGAAGTATTCATTGATAAAATGTGTATTGTACCATTTGTACAGTTTAACGTGGAAACAATCCTGTCGATCCGTTGTTGAAGCGATTGACTACAAGAGAAATATCTCCATTTCAAATTAAACGTTTAGTTCCAGCGATGTATCCATGTAACGAACTTGGGTAAATTTTGGGGCCATGTACATTGGTAGTGTATATTTACTTAATAATTTCTGAAATATGTAAACGCATATCGCCACCTTGAGACGGGATTGTGAAAACGAGAAAAAAAAACTATTAGAAAAGTAAACAAACTTCGGGCCTGCCCGTGGGACAAAGCTCTCAGTCAACTCGCAGCATATGCTTCCCATATTTGGGCTCAGGCTTACCTAATCGATGTTTATAGGGGTGCATCTTCTTTGTTGGTGCGCCAATTAAAGAGGATCAGTCCTTGAATTTCTTTACCTATAGATCTAATCCTTCCCAATAATGTTGTTGTTTCTTTAGAAAAGCAGCTTAGTGAGCAATCCCACCGGTTTTGTAAAAGACATAAAACCGTTGTTTGAAAATACACCCCTATATTTAAAAATGAAAGAGCCCAGCCAGTCGAAGGTCAATCACGCATAGCGTCCCTTGAAGTGTGTGTGTCTACTTCGTGGCGGTACTGGGGCTGGCTGGCGGTGCAGTACGCGTTGAACGTACACAACAATAACACACGTTATTTACATTCAGGACTAACCGCAGGTCATAGCTACACGTGTGGGACTGCTTACGACTGCACTCGGAGTTATTTGGTAAGAAATCATTAGAAAATGTGCTTTATTATTCGTGTTTCTATACCTACTTGTCTTATTTATAAGTTATGTATGTCTGTTCATGATCACTACGGAAATATTTCATCGGATTTGAATATAGCTTTTCCTAAGTTTGATTGAGTGTTGATTATCGACCGCATCTTGGAGGCTTTGTGAAGTTTTCAAGGCCAGTCCTCTCCCCTAGCAAGCAAGGAGCTAGGTTGTATTTTTCGGGTGTACGCGGCTGTGCTATTTGTGTATGCTGAATAAAGTAAGTCGACATACCCTTGTAACCCTGCCTTGCATGTAACTTTTACATATTACTGAACTTTATGTTGTTCGATTGTAATAGAGATATATAGAAAGTTGTTAAAAATGTTAGTGTCTCATTAAAAGCGAGGTGAGAAAATCCCGCAGCTGCAGTGCCATGTAGTCTACTGTTGACAAACAATTTGAAACTAAACGGATTCGAAACAGGATCTGGTCTTTTTTTCCGCCCTACATTCAGTTTGGTTCCAGGCCCTGGGGAAGCTTTATTTTGACATTCGAATTATTTCAAAGTACCTAATATAGTCACATAGTTTTGAGACAAGAATTGTACAACCTCTTTATTTTCTCGTTGGTGCAAAGTGCGTGGATTGTCTCACTTGGTTTTTAGTTTGCCTGTTCATGTTTTTATTTTGGTTTATCTGTTTTGTTTGTTATATGTATCTTGACTCACTTGGGTTACTTATCGATCTCATCATGATTGTTCCTGCTATCATTGAAAACCTGCTACATTACAACCAGGTTATCTTTCACTCCCTGCTATAAGTTAGAACACTACAAATCACTGTTTCACTCAGACCAATGTAAATAAAGAAATCTAGATCTAATCGGAAAATCTGTCATGAATTCCATTTTATGTCATTTTGTTTGATAAGCCTATCTGGCACGACTGGAAGACCATGCATGCAATGCTGTTACCCTATAGGGCAAATTATAATTTGCCCGGTCGCGTCATTTTTTTCTGCGGCACAGATTGGGGCTTTTTTTTTTTTAAACAGAGGTCTTGATTTAACCCTAACCCTAACCCTAACACTAAACTTTCCCGTAGGCTCAACACGCACCTAACCCCAATCTGTGCCGCAGAAAAAATAACGCTGCCCGGTCAGGCAAAAAGATTTTATGCCCCCCCCCCCCCCCCCCCTCCCCTCGCCAAACAACCCATGAGAAAAACAATATGACACTTGAACTTAAATGTAAAGCTAGATGTACGACATACCGTCTTTATTATGTACCAGATACTGTTGCTTAGGCATTCCTTCCTATGTTTTCATGAGAAAGTTACCATACTAGTCTTATTTTAGTTTGAGTTTTGATGTTTTGACTACGGTCAAGAAGGAACTGCTCTTGGCAAAGCTAATTAGACCAAGATACAAAGTTTGGCAATAATTTAATCTTTTACGATATACCTTGTGCTCCAAACAGGTAATTTCTAATTATTTCATCCTAAATGGCTATAGGAGAATTAACGGAGACTGAACAAACCACAAGATAGTTTGGCCATTATCCAAGTACACGAGCATGAAATTCAGACTGTTACAAAGTGACTTATACTAATTTTTGGATGTATAGAAAAAAAAGCACTCTTATGAATGTTTTGTTATAAATGATAGTGTGTTATTATATTTATAGTGATTTTAGTCCTCTGTCTGTGTACTTATCTGCTTACTAAGTAATATGATAAGTATTGCGGGTTGTGATACCAAAAGGAAAGTGCAAACTTTCGGATCAGACGCTCAAGCGTTTAGGATAATGTGTAAGAGGATAATTATAATATTCTACTGAATTAATAATCTCGTACATGTACATGAAGACGAAGAAGAAAAACATGGGAACTACAATAAGAATGGGTTCCAATAATTGGAATTAAAACATGATGATGAAGTTCGGGTTTGGGTGAGGCTATTTCAAAATCTAATCACATGTACTAGTATATAGGCTCTTGCCCAGAAAAGAAAGATGTGAGCCAAAATCATTCTTTTTCCCTCCAGCAGTTTATTGAATACCACCGAGGCGAATTAACCCTGATGTCGACCTTTCTTTTCATGACCTATTTTTGTAAGTAAAAAGTCTTTTTCTTCAAAAATGGCCCAGGGTTTGAAATTTCAACCAGTGAATGCGCACGTTTCTGTCTGGCTAAATACTTTCTATTATTGCGTCAAGAAAACACAATTTTTATACCTCCGTTAGAACGATGAACCAGCATCGTATCAATGCTGTTGTTTCGCATTTAATTAGCACTTTAAGTGGGTACCATCACCGAATATAATTTGTTAGTTTACGATTGTTGTAATTTTTAATAAGTAACGACAAAACAGATGAAAACTGGACACTACAATCGTAATTTTTGTTGTTGTGTTCGTATTTTGTATTTTTAAGTTTTGGGCATTATGATTGTATTTACCTAGGTCGGCTTTAAAAAGAAAAGAAAATTCTAGTCGCAGCGTATATAACATAATATAGTTTTACAAAATAATGTGTCACATACTTACATTAGGCGGCTTTAGGCCAATATCGTTGGTGCATTTTTGATTGCCGGATAAATATGTGAATTATACCAGTGGTGTATCTTCTTGATCATATTTCATAAAGATGAGAAGTCGTTCGTTTTTGTATTTTGTCTTAAAAGTACATGCAGGGCCACTAGAAGCAAGAAGGTCAAGTACTACTTGACTACTTGCTGCCGTGTTTGCTTTCAATATTGACAGGGATTAGAGCGAGCCTACGCTGTATGATCTGTATCAAGCTATCATGCACAGTAAATGAAAATGCGTTTGCCAATAAAATTGATGTGACCCTTCAACTTTTATCCGTACAGATTTGTAAGTTGATGTGTGGAGATGACTGAAGATCGCAATCCCAGTGGACATTTTGGTCTCAGTATCAGTTTTGCTTTGAGTGATTACATCCGTGTATAGACCCTCTTGTTGACAATTATTTTTGTCCTTTTTTTCTTCATGATATTATGTTTGGGATTGCCCACCTGGGCTACTCGGTCAAGAGTAGTTTTCTCAAGAACTTTAGACGAAATGTCACTTCACAAGGACTTATACATTGCTGTGCAAGTTGATCTCGATACCGCTACCTAGCATTGGTTATTTCCTGTAACTTGTAAGACTGGTGTATGACTATGATAGAGAGCATTCCTTACAAACAAAATAATTGTTTTTCAAGGACCATAAACCCTTCACCCTTCATTTCGACCGATGGTTCTAGACTTGCAAATATTAAAATGAAATGTAATTTCGTGGACTGCAGGATGGAGTACTCTAGGAATCTTGATCTGAATTCCATGCGACCAAAACTTCCATGAAGGGTGTTTGTGGGTACCTCGATTCCTTTGACAGGGTCATCATGGGTCAATACTACTGGTCACTCTAAACAAAATGTCACTGGTATGGACATTTGTTTGTGGTTGACCGAACTCTTGCCCTTGGTCAAAACAACCATCTGGGCCCCGTTGCATGAACTTACCGTTGATGGTGATTTCGTCATCAATATTAACTACCATAGCAACATCACTCAAATCAAATCAAATCAAGGTTCCCATGAAAGTAACCATTAATTAAATTCAAAGTTACCTTCCAAAGTTTTATGCGACGGGGGCCCTTGATAGGATACTTTGATGATTGTGGGCAGATAACTTAAGTACGGTAAAATGCGTATGGTTTACCTACATTTACTGTGACATACCAAGCAATAGATTACCAACTGTTTTAGTTTCCTGCTTTTAACAAGGTTTTATCAGCTCGTAGCCTGTTCAACCATGCGGTGTTCCGCAAGTGCCATGATCTTCATTCATTACTTTCAAACAGAGCGTGCAGGCGTGAAAGTACTTAATTCGTTTTACCATGGTTTTACTTAATGGTAGGTCCGATCTGGCTTAGTTACCTGAATTGAGATGCAGTGAGTCAAACAACCAGAACCAATGGTTAGTGGATAAGAGCTAGTGTAACACAGGGATTTGTTTAGCAAATCAAACAGATTTTCACTTGTGTAAACTGTAAAGGTGTGTCTCCTTACTGCTGCTTTATATTTACTGGTGCTTAAAAACCCAATGCATAATATTTATGATGTCTATCTCGTTGGTATATAGCAGCCACGTGTTCTATTCATATTTATTCATTATTTTCTGTACCTGGTACCCTCCTATTATTACCCCTTCGAGAACATGTTTGGGCCGCAAAGTGCCATCCGTTGAAACCTGTTATGTCGAGATGGACAGACAGAAGTGTTTTGCTTGATAAAACTTGGCACGCCTCCTGATCGCGTCGATTCCGGTTGTTTGGAGGAGAGGAGGAGCTTGGCCTTGGGAAGGTTTAGCGTCATGACCCATATCCTTTGACACATGATGGCCAAATGATGACAGAGCCCACCTTCTAACCCAAAACACGGTCACCAAAAGTCCAAAGATCGAAGCAACATCGTAAGTCCAAGTGGACAGGACCTATGTGATACAGCATTTGTTGAATGAGACAATCCATCCTCATCTTAGCTAATATGGAGGGAAATCTTCTCCACTTTGATCTTAAAAATCTTGAACGATACAATCAAGTAGACCTCTTGCTCTAACATTAAGGCCGACATGTTTTTGTGTTTCAATAATAATGAATTCACCACACAGAATTTCAGGCTTCAATATTTCACCGTTCATATTATTAGAGCACAGATTTGGTTAATAGAATATTATTTTGTAGGAATAGGGCCTAAGATGCGACTACTACAAAATGGGGTTCTCCTGTTTTGGTGGATAAGATAATGCTAAGACCCACTTGATATTACACTCCAAGTCTCAGAAGTGAAATTGATTGTCTATAGAATAATCTTAGATGTGTCCAAGTTTTTGACAGTTAGGGCTATTTTTGTTCAAAAAAATATAAACCTGTTCTTGATTGACAACTAAATGCTAGAGAAAAACAATCAAACAACAATTATGAAGGGACATTATCAAGTGC